GATTACAGGCGTGTGCCACTATGCCCGGCTAATTTTGGTATTTATAGTAGAGACAGAGTTTTGCCATGTTGGCCAGGCTGGTCTCAGGTGATTCACCTGCCCCCGCCTCCCAAACTGCTGGGATTACAGACGTGAGGTACCGCACCAGCCTGTGTGAGTCCATTTATATGAAATGCCCAGAATAGGCAAATCCATAGAAACAGAAAAATTAATAGGTGCCAGGGTTTGGAGGAACAGAAGCATAAGGAAGCAATGTTGAAAGGGTGCAAGGCTTCTTTTTCAGGTGATGAAAATTTCCTAACATTGATGGCGGTGTTGGCTGCACAACTCTATGACTGCACTAGAAGCCACTGAATTTCACACTTAGTATTTATTTATTTTATTTTTTGGAGACAGGGTCTCACTCTAGCGCCCAGGCTGGAGTGCAGTGGCACAGTCTTGGCTCACTGCAACCTCTGCCTCCCGGGCTCAAGCATACACACCACCATGACTGGCTAATTTTTGTATGTTTTGCAGAGGTGGGGTTTTACTGTGTTGCCCAGGCTGGTCTTAAACTCCTGAGCTCAAGCAATCCTTCTGCCTTGGGCTCCCTAAGGCCTGGGATTACAGGCGTGAGCCACCACGCCAAGCCCCTAATTGTATACTTTAAATGGGTACATTGTATGCAATGTGTATTATATCTCAATAAACTTATTACAGTTGTTCAATCAATAACGAATAACAACAGAAGCCTAGCAGTGCAAACACCGGTTTTGCAGAGACATCAAAGCAATGTGGAAGTCAAGGTATGGCCTTACCAGCCACTTCAGCTTCAAGGAAAATAAGGTACCAAAAAAAAACACAACCCATATCATGGGGCAGATGATGAGGCCCAGCCAGAAGATTCGCGCTTCAGCTTCTGTGGCAGCAATGTTATTCGGGGAGACCTGTTTAAGGAAAGTAATTCAAATGTCAAAACAAGCAGAAATGGTTGCAAATGAACGAGCATGCTCGCATTTTCATTTATTTTAGTTTGCAGATGCTTTTGTTGTTGTGGGGTTTTTTGTTGTTGATGTTGTTTTATTTTTTGAGACGAAGTCTCATTGTGTCACCCAGGCTGGAGTGCAGTGGCATGATCTTGGTTCACTGGAACCTCCGCCTCCTGGGTTCGAGTGATTCTCCTGCCTCAGCCTCCCGAGTAGCTGGGATTACAGGTGGCTGCCACAACGCCCGGCTAATTTTTGTATTTTTAGTAGAGACAGGGTTTCACCATGTTGCCCAGGCTTGTCTCAAACGCCTGACCTCAAGTGATCCACCCACCTCCGCCTCCCAAAGTGCTGGGATTACAGGCGTGGGCCACCATGCCCAGTCTATTTTGCAGACACTTTTGCCACACCCATGTTTCACCAGAGCACCCACAGCAGTGGCTTTTGTGTAGCTGGAATCAGATATGCATAAAACTCCAAAGGAACCCACAGAAACTTTCTACGCCCATTATCCCCGCTCTGGTTAGTTCAGCTCGTCATGGAGAATACCTTCCTGGCTTCAAAGATCCAGTGGCTCTTCCCATCTTCATCTATCTGGTTCCACCATCGAAGGCCCACCAGGAGTCTTCCGGTTACATTCTGAAGACAACAGACAAATGACTCTGAGCAGGTCACAAGCAAAGAGGCGTATTCACTGTGTTGATAAATAAAAGTCCCCTGATTCATGTCAGACTTGTACTGGAAGCAGGAAGAAAAAAGGTGTTGAATTGTAGTGAATTCTCAGATGTCAAGGCTTCTAGTTTTGAACTAAGCTCACTTTAAAAAGTTACACACGGCTGGGCGCGGTGGCTCATGCCTGTAATCCCAGCACTTTGGGAAGCTGAGGTGGGAGGCTCATGAGGTCAGGAGATCAAGACCATCCTGGCTAACAAGGTGAAACCCTGTCTCTACTAAAAATGCAAAAAAATTAGCCGGGCGTAGTGGCGGGCGCCTGTAGTCCCAGCTACTCGGGAGGCTGAGGCAGGAGAATGGCTTGAACCTGGGAGGTGGAGCTTGCAGTGAGCCGAGATAGCGCCACTGTACTCCAGCCTGGGCGATGAGCAAGACTCTATCTCAAAAAAAAAAAAAAAAGTTACACACTCCCCCCACAAACATATATAATTTATATGTTCATATTATATATGTTTTAAATATATGTATTAATTCATATACAAGTGACATGGTTTGGCTGTCTCCCCACCCAAACCTCATCTTGAATTGTTGCTCCCATAATTCCCACGTGTTATGGGGGAGACCAGGTGGGAGATAATTGAATCATAGGGGCAGTTTCCCCTACACTGTTCTTGTGGTAGTGAATAAGTGCCGCAAGATCTGATGGTTTTTATAAGGGGAAACCCCTTTTGCTTGGCTTTCATTCTCTCGCTCGCTCTCTCTCTGTTTTTTTTTTTTTTCTGAGACAGAGTTTGGCTCTTGTCACCCAAGCTGGAGTGCAGTGGCACAATCTTGGCTCACTGCAACCTCCACCTCCCAGGTTCAAATGATTCTCCTGCCTCAACCTCCCAAGTAGCTGGGATTACAGGCGCACACCACCACGCATGGCTAATTTTTGCATTTTTAGTAGAGACGGGGTTTCTCCATGTTGACCAGGCAGGCTGGTCTCAAACTCCTGACTTCAGATGATCCTCCCACCTCGGCCTCCCAAAGTGCTGGGATTACAGGAGTGAGCCACCGCGCCCGGCTGGCTTCCATTCTCTCATCTGCCACCGTGTAAGATTTGCCTTTCGCCTTCCACCATGACTGTGAGGCCTCCCCAGCCATGTGGAACTGTAAGTTCCTTAAACCTTTTTGTCTTCATAAATTACCTAGTCTTGGGTATGTCTTTATCAGCAGCGTGAAAACAGACTAATACAATAAGTTTTACAAAAAAATGCAAAGTCATATGGGGTTGTCACATGTGCAAGAATGACAATTGACATTTGACAAAAGCCATTTATTAAGCGCTAAACAATGCATTTTTCCCCTTAGCTTTTTTTTTTTTTTTGAGACGGAGTTTCACTCTTGTTGCCCAAGCTGGAGTGTAATGGTGTAATCTCGGCTCAGTGCAACCTCCGCCTCCTGGGTTCAAGTGATTCTCCTGCCTCAGCCTCCCGAGTAGCTGGGATTACAGGCATGTGCCACCGCGCCCGGCTAATTTTGTATTTGTAGTAGAGACAGGGTTTCTCCAGTCCCCCTACTTTTAAGTGACACTGCTCAGCACTCTTAAGCATGTCTCAGGAGTCTAAACCAAAGTATCTCTTGATCCCACGCATATAGGGGACAAGCCTCGTGTTTCGGGAGTGGTGACATCACAGGAAAGGGCCTCACCTTCACAGACCAGAAGTCCAGGGACAGGAGGAGCAGCACCGTGACAAAACAGCCCACAAAGCTCTTGCCGAACCAGTCGCAGCACACGTAGGTGACGATGGCACTCACTCGGAAAAACAGGTGGAAAAAGGTGGCCAAGGGGTGTCTAGGAAAGGACCCAGAAGGCGCCCTCACTCCAAGAGCCAAGCGGATGGTTACTGAATTCCCTTCACCATTTCAGACTTTGCTGGGGGCATTCACATGGCTCAATGGAATGTTCTCCCTGGTGCATATGAAGCAGAAACTCAGGCTGTAGCCCTGGGGATGCATTATTAGGTCAGCAGTCCCCAAACAGTCATGCTGACACTGTTTTTTTTCCTCCCCTTCGAAGAATCCAGTACTTTCCCGCCACTTGACTCCAAATATCACTTGCCCTCTTTGAAACACGGTCATCTTTGAAGTGAAATGTGACAGCAATCACTGCCTCCCCGCCCAGTAGAGATGACAGTCAGTTCCCCAAAGGTAAAGGTTGGGTTTTTCCGCCAGTCACTGAACTCCAAGCTCACATGCAGCCCACGGGGCAGGTGTCTCATGTCATCGGGGAATGTGTTCCTGGACAGAGCGAAACATGTGACCTGTGAGTGGCAGGTCTCACTCATCGTAATTGCTCAGTGGTGAGTGGCACGTGAATCCTGGCATTTAACCTAGGGGAAGGTGGTTCTTGTTCACTGTTCCTTGAGACACAAACCTGGCCAGAAAGAAGAGAGGGAGCCAAGGGGAACATGCTCATCTTATGTAAATTGCTTTTTTTTCTGTTTTTTTTTCCTATTATTTTTATTTTTATTTATTTATTTTTTTGAGATGGAGCCTTGCTCTGTGGAGTGCAGTGGCATGATCTCGGCTCACTGCAGCCTCCACCTCCTGGGTTCAAGCAGTTCTCCTGCCTCAGCCTCCCGAGTAGCTGAGATCACAGGCGCCCACCACCATGCCCAACTAATTTTTATATTTTGAGTAGAAATGGGATTTCAACATGTTGGCCACGCTGGTCTCGAACTCCTGACCTCAGGTGATCCGTCCGCTTCAGCTTCCCAAAGTGCTGGGATTACAGGCATAAGCAAGCACGCCCGGCCTTTTTTTTTTTTTTTTTAATGTGTATCTGATAGTCTGATATCAGCCACGTGCCACCTGTAATGCCAGCACTTTGGGAGGCCGAGGCGGGTGGATCACCTGAGGTCAGGAGTTCAAGACCAGCCTGGCCAACATCGTGAAACCCCATTTCTACTCAAAACACAAAAATTAGCTGGGCATGGTGGTGTCTGCCTGTAACCCTAGCTACTCGGGAGGCTGAGGCAGGAGAATCACCGGAACCTGGGGGCGGAGGTTGCAGTGAGCCGACATTGCACCACTGCACTCCAGGCTGGGTAAGAAAGTTAGACTCCGTCTCTAAACAAGAAAACAATGGTCACCAAGTTGTCTAGAGCAGGTGATGGCAGTGGGTGATGTGGGCCAGACTGAAGACACTTGTGGGTTTCTCTTTCTTTCTATAGTTTCCCAGTTTAGACAGAGCACACAGGTAGAGAACGATACTCAACTATGATCGAGAAATCAACAGCACGAGCCCAGCTGTTATCAGAAAGGGGTCCAGATCCAGACCCCAAGAGAGGGTTCTTGGATCTCACCCAGGAAAGAATTCAGGGCAAGCCCAATGAGTAAAGTGAAAGCAAGTTTATTAGGAAAGTAAAGGAACAAAGAATGGCTAGTCCATAGATAGAGCCGTCCTAAGGGCTGCTGTTTGCCCATTTTTATGGCTATTTCTTGATGATATGCTGAATGAGGGGTAGATTATTCATGCCTCCCCTTTTTAGACCATATAGGGTAACTTCCTGACATTGCCGTGGCATCTGTAAACTGTCATGGCGCTGGTGGGAGTGTAGCAGTGAGGAAGACCAGAGGTCACTCTCGTGGCCATCTTGGTTTTGGCGGGTTTAGCCGGCTTTTTTACTGCAACCTGTTTTATCAGCAAGGTCTTTATGACCTGTATCCTGTGCGATCTTCTATCTCATCTTGTGACTTACAATGCCTTAACCGTCTGGGAATGCAGCCCAGTAGGTCTCAGCCTCATTTTACCCAGCCCCTATTCAACATGGAGTTGCTCTGGTTCACACGCCTCTGACACGGTGATGGATGGCAATGAAACCCACACCTCAGGGCAGGGGAGGAAAAGGGAGGGATGAAAGGGACTCTTCCCAGCACCACTGGTCTGGTGCAAACCAGACCCAGTACTGCCAGATCCAAGATTTTCAGGAGAAGTCAGAAATCCATACTTGCAATGGGAAATCTGATTTTAAATGATGGCCGCTAATTCTTTTACTGAAATATCCCAGTCTGTGTTTCTCACTGGCCTGCAAGCAGTGAGCTTGCAACCTCTGGATTAGAGTTATAAAATGCTGTGGGCTTTGGCAAATGAGAGGCAGAATGGGGTGGCCACAGAGGTCCACACAGAACTGCAGGGCAAAGAGCCTGCTCATTCTCCCCAAGAAGAAATGGAGTCAGAGTCAGCACAACATAGACGCCTATAAAACTGTGGGGTTTCCGACTCCCAGGGGAATGTTAAGAGTCAGAAGCAGACTTCACAGTGACTTTTTGCATGGCAAAGCACCAACCATTCACCAGGATGGGTCTCGTCTGAGCCTTTCAGGCTCTCCGCTCTGCCGGTGACCTGAATGAAAACCAACCCTGGAAGTGTACCCCGCATTTAAAAATTAGACAGGATCACCAGGTGTTGTAGCTGACACCTGTAATCCTAGCACTTTGGGAGGCTGAGGCAGGCAGATCACTTGAAGTCAGGATTTGAAGACCAGCCTGGCCAACATGGTGAAACTCCGTCTCTACTAAAAATACAAAAATTAGCCAGTTGTGGTGGCAGGTGCCTGTAATCCCAGCTACTCAGGAGGCTGAGGCAGGAGAATCGCTTGAACTGGGGAGGTGGAGTTTGCAGTGAGTCGAGAT